CATGTTTGGTAAGGTGGAGGGTCAGAGAAAAAGAGGAAGACCCCCAACGAGATGGATTGGCCAAGTGGCAGCATCAATGGACTCAAGCATGGCAACAGTAGTGAGGTTGGCCCAGGATCGGACAGTGTTTCGTTCTGCTGTGCATAAGGTCACTATGCATTGGTACCAATATCGATGGCACCTAACAACAACAACAGCTATATATGGTCAAAGGTACAACACAGAATTTCCCCAGGAGCACAAACCGCTTGCTATAGACCAACAGTGAACTAACTTGTCAGGGATTCCATTCTTCTTGGATCCACAATCAATGCCCAGGAAAGCAGCCACAAGGAAATTAAGGGCATTAGGTAAATCTGCTACAAAAGACTTCTTGGAAGTTCTAAAAAGCAAAGGTGTCACTTTGAGGGCTAAGATGAGCCTGATCCAAGCCATGGTATTTTCGATCACCTTGTATGCATGTGATAGTTGGGCAATGAAAAGGAAGACCAGGGAAGAATTGATGCCTGTGAATTACGGTGTTGATGAAGAATATTGAAAATAGCATGGACTGCCAGAAAACCAAAAAATCCTTCTTGGAAGAAGTATAGCCAAAATGCTCCTTAGAAGTGAGAATGGTGAGACTTCATCTCTTGTACTTTGGACGTGTTCTCAGGAGGGACCCGTCCCTGAAGAAGGACATCATGCCGGTAAATTAAAGGGTCAGTGAGAAAGAAGAGGACTCTCAATGAGATGATCCGACACAGTGAATGCAACTATGAACTCATTCATAACAACCCCTGTGAGATTGGAGCAGGACCAGGTAGCATTTTGCTGTGTTGTACTATTATCCATCAGCTGGCTATGAGCTGGAGTGGGTTCAATGGGAACTAAGAAAAGCAACTACTGTGGACAAAATGCAAAACGGATGCAATCTATCACTGCTGTCTTCAAATAGATGGATTCCCCTCCATATAAGTTCTTCCAAAGTATAGACGGTATGTGTGTGTGTACCCCACTTTCTTCCCATTCTTCTCCAACCAGGAAATAATAATAACAAAACAGCAGCAGACATACTATGTGCCAGCTAATTTCTAAGCACTTCACAAGCAGTAACTTTTACTGTCTTACTGACAATCTTTTGAGGTATTTTGACTTCTCTTGATTTACAGAAAAGGATCTCAGACAGGTTAAGTACCTTGCCTGAGGTTACACAGTTGCGCTGTAGGATAAGCACTAGACTGCTAACCACAAGGTTGGCAGTTCAAACCTACCGCCTGCTCCTTGGAAACCCTATACAGGGTCGTGATGAGTCAGAACTGACTCGATGGCACTTATATCTCCAGCAGGAGAAAGATGAGGCATTCTGCTCCCATGAAAGTTTAAAAATCAAAATCCACAAAAGCCTTGGAAACCCAAGCTGCTAGTGACTCCACGGTACGCAACAACAACAGTGTTGTACCAATTCAATGTGTAATGTTCTCTCTCTGAAAGTGTCGGCTAAGTGTGATTGAAAAGTCATAAGGCAACAGAAGCAGAAAAGCAGCCATTTCTTTTCACCCAGGGAGAATAAATAACCCCCCTGAACACGTATAAAAAAGTTTTTATTTAAAAAATGGACATTACTGTATGTAATTTGTTTTGTCTTTTAGATAAGAAATTTTTAATAGCTTGTTATTAAGTGCTGTTGAGTAGGTTCTGACTCACAGCAACCCTGTTTAGGATTTCTGAGTATCAACTAGTGGGTTTGAACTGCTGACCTTGTGGTTTGCAGTCTAGTGCTGATTAATTTACATGCCATAAAATTTACTCACATTAAGGGCATATACTCATATAAATTCAGAGTGCTGGTTTGGCACTGTAGGATAAACTCTCGACCACAAGTTCGGCTTGAACTACAAGATTGGTGGTTTAAATTCTTTAACCACTCCTAAGGAACCTGATGAGTCAGAACTGACTGGATGACACTTAACAAAACAAGGGCAAATTCAGTAATTGAAGTAAATTCACGGAGCGGTTCAGCTATCAGCATCATATTACAATTCTGAGAGATTTTATGCCAAAGACCCTTCACATCCTTTCCCACTCATTCCCCACTCCCATCCCTGAGAAAACACATCTATTTTCTGTCTTTATAGATGCGCCGATTCCAAACATTTTATATATATTATTGTTGTTGTTAAGTGCTGTCGAGTCGGTTCCGACCCATAGCGACCCTGTACAGAGTTTCCGAGGGTGTAAATCTTTACGGGAGTAGAAAGCCTCATCTTTCTCCCTCGGAGCGGCTGGTAGTTTCGAACTGCTGACCTTAAGGTTCACAGCCTGATTCGTAACCACTATGCTACCAGAGCTCCTTTAGGACCATACAAAATGTGGTCATTGAAGCTGGCTTCCTTCATTAGCACGGTATTCTCAAGGTTCATCCACGTTCTGGCTTCTGTCAGTAGAACGTTACTCCTTTTGATGGTTGAGTAATATTCCACTGTATGGCTGTATCGTTCAGTTCGTTCTTGGGTGTCTTCCTACTGTCCTTAGACCTTCTCACATCTCTCATCTCCTGTGGGATTTGTGAATAGAGGTTCTACTAGACTATTATCTTCAACATCACATTATGTTTCAATAGTTCCAGACAGGAGATTCCAGTTGCAGATTTTCTATCAGCTGAAATTCACTACAGGGAACCTGAGTTCTCCCTGAAACCTCAGATTTGCCAGTTACTGCTTCCTGCATCTACCTCATTCTCTAAAATGAAAGAAACATTGGGGAATATCTCAGCCCCAAGTTAATAAGATGTAAAAAGAAAGAAGGAAAAGTAAATAGACAGTAACAGCAATTGTGTTACATTTTAGTGGAAGACTTATAAATATTCCTGAGCAAAATAGTGGTTATCTGTCATTGTTCTGGACTGCAAAGTCGGTTTGAGCCACTAGGTTGGCAGTTCAAGCTCACAAACTGCACCTCGGAAACCCTATACAGGGTCGCTATGGGTCAGAACCGACTTGACGGCACTTCACGCAAAAACAATAATCCTGTGGGATAATGTGCTGGAGTGCATAGTTACTTTGGACTGCAAGGTCGATTTGAACCTCAAGGTTGATGGTTGAAAGTCAACAGCCGCTCCTTGGAAATCCTATACAGGGTTGGAGTCAGCAATGACTGGAAGGCACTTAACAACAACATCATCATTTAACAAGATCCAGAAGGGAGTGGCAGTATTGGAGAATTTTGGTGCTAACCTGCTGAAAGAAAACTGCCACTGGACCATCCTTGAATGAGAAATAGGATTGCTGTGTAGCTTTGGAGACCTAACCCCAGAATCTGCAACTGGAATACTTACACTATGAAAAGCAGGACAGTGGTCATTTTGAGGGGAGGGGAGTTGCACTGAGCAAAGAGGTATGTAATGACCCAACAGACAAGGTGGATAACCAGTGAGGTCGGCAAATTCCGAGGGCCACCTTTCCAAGTGCTTGCAGACCCAACTGAGGTCTTTATCTTTTGTCTTTTATATGGAAAACAATACCAAACGACTTCCAGACCCAGTATTGTGTGCATGGACCATACCAGAAGGCTAAGAGGAGGAATGTGTGCTTTCTGCAAAGTTTCAGACAGGAGGTGAGGGCTGGCCTTAGGGGACACGTGGAGCAGTAGGAAGAAATGACCAACAAGCTTTGGGGATGGATTGTTGTTGAAGTATGAAGAACCATCCAGGAGGGGGTGGGGTGGGGAGTTCCGGATGGGAATGCGGGGAAAGACAGAAGGCTGAGGTTTGTTTGGAGGTATCCTTGCAACCAGTAAAGTGCACAGATCTTAAGTGTAGCATGGGTCTTGATGAATGTCTGCACTCGTGGATCTACCCCTTAGATCCCCCAATACAGGGTTTTGAAATGCTGCGCTTCCCTTCTCTGCTGAGTCTACAATAAGAGCTTTCTGGAAGGCACCAAAGCCTCAGGGACCTGAGGCAAGCAGCAGCGAGGGCTGCAAGATGGAACGTTCTCTGCAGCCAGTAGGAGGAAATCTTGTGAGCAAACGACCACTAGACAGGAAGAGGTCCTAGGAGAACAGAAAGACTCCCGCTTGGACGTTTTTGGCGTGCTTGACACCCCCCCCCCCATTCCCTTCCGCACACTTATTTGCTCCTGAATGTAGAGTGTTTCTCTCATCTCAAAGTTCTCAATCCCCCGCTAAAACCCCTTCTGAGCTGGCTTCAGCTCGAGTCTGCACCACGGAACCTGGGGAAGGCCCTCACTGGGGGTGGGGAGGAGAATGGGGTGGGAGCTCAGGACCCTGAGCTCTCTGCACCTCCTCTGAGCAGCATTACCTCGCGGGCACTGTATCCTCGGAGCTCAAGCTCTGTCAGCAGAGCCAGGCTGCGAGGAAAGAGCAGGGTGGCCCGTCTCCGGACGGCTGTGCACCCCTTCTCCTCGCCCCTGCAGTTTGTTTGCAGCAGCGCCCTAGGGCTTACAGCCTTGTGAGTTTGCACGCGGCGACAGCGCCGCGGCTGGGATTGGGGGGCGGGGAGCGTTGCCGCGCTCCTCTCGCCTTCTCGCGCCTTGGCTGTCCCAGGAACGTCGGGAAAAGTATCCAAGAGTTCTGCGAGGCGCACGCGCCAAAAAAAAAAAAAAAAAAGGGGCACAACCCCCACCCCTCTGGGCGTTGCGTGTCCCGACCTCGCCACTCAGGCTGCACCTCCGGCTGTTGCGCACACGCCTCCCGCGCCTCCTCCTCCTAGCTTTCTCGCCGTCGGTCGGTACTGCCTTTGCAGCCGTCTGCGACACGGAGTGGTAGTCAGAGATCCCTGCGCTCCTCCTCGGACCACCATGCCCAACGACGATGCCTTCAGCAAGCCCTCGACCCCGGCAGAGGCTCCGCACGCCCCCGGGTCTGCCCCACAGGGCAAGGGCGCTGGCTTCGGAAAGGGGACCGGGCCGCTGGCGGGCGCGGGGGGCTGCGGCGGCGCGGGGTCCGGGGCGGCGGGTAAGAAGTCCCCGAGGCTGCCCAAGTGTGCGCGTTGTCGGAACCACGGCTACGCGTCGCCGCTCAAGGGCCACAAGCGCTTCTGCATGTGGCGGGACTGTCAGTGCAAGAAGTGCAACCTGATCGCCGAAAGGCAGCGCGTGATGGCCGCGCAGGTGAGTTCGGCCCCGGGTGCTGGGCGACGTGCCTCGGGGCGCTGAGCACGCACCACCATCCCCATCATGGCCGGCTGCAGCCCTGGGGCTCCGGGTGAGCCCCTCCTGCAGTCTCCCGAAGGCCGGATGCAGTCCTGAGCTCTAGGACACGTTCCTGGACGGCTCGGTGCACTGGGTGAGGTCCCCTTGCTGTCCTCGACGGCTGGTTGCACGCTTGGGCTCTGGGTAAGGACCCCCCGAGCACGACCCCGGCAGCCAGGTGCATCCCTGGGCCAAGACCCGGATAGCCAGGCGCAGGCCCAGAAGCTGGGCCAAGTGCTCGGCGTGCGTAAGCACGGTGGCCGGGTGCAGCCCAGGACGCTGAGTGAGGTTCCCCGACCGACCGTTAGGTGCAGCCTTCCATGCTGGGTGAGGTTCCCCAGTGGGTCCCCGACGGCCTCGTGCAACCCCGGACTCTGAATGAAGTCGAGACAGCTGGGTGCAACCCCAGGCACCGGGCGAGGTCCCCTGCAGGCCTCAGACGGCTCGGTCCCCCACTCCCCACCCCCGAGAATCAGGCGTCTGGGGTATGCTCCTATAGGGGTCGCCAGAGTCCCTGGCCCAGCCCCCATCAAGTGTTCTCACGGGCATCCCCGGGATCGCAGGCTTTGCCCATGGATCTGAATTGAACGATCCCTCCTTTTAGGGTTCCCGGATCTCTGATCCCTTCTGTCAGCTGAGAGTGGGGCGTTCGCCCGGGTCTGGAGTCGCGGGTTTCTGGCGCTGCCCCTCACAAAGTTGCAAGTTTGTTCCGCTGGAGGATCTCTGGTTCCCCCGAGAGGGTTGCGGGGTTCATTCCAGTAGGGGCCCCTCACCCTTGGGAGCCCTCGAGAGCCATCGAGAAACGTGCCTCTGTCTGCGGAGCAGAGTTAAGGGGCTCTCCCCGCTGGGTGAGGGGTCTCGGGCTCCTGCATCCCGCCGCGTACAGAACCGCGGGGTTCACCTGGTTCAGGGGTCCCCATGACATCTAACTTGGCTTCTCCTAGAGCCGCGCAGGGTTCGCTTCTCTCGGGAAGGGGGTGCCCCAAGCGCCCTGACCCACCCAGCACAGAACTGAACTCGCTTCTCTGGGTTCCATCTCAGCGCCTTCCCGATCCTGCCCGCACGGAACCGCAGGGTTCGCTTCTCCGGGTTCACTCTCAGGGCTCGGGGGCTCCAGCCCGCTCAAACCTCGGGGACCCCAGAAGTCTCCACGAAGTGCCCCCACGCTCCTGGGACGGATCCCCTCGGCCCGTTTATTTCTGGAAAAGTCCGTGGGCCCCAGCCATTTTGAACCCGACGTTTCGTCAGCCTTGTCCATTTTAATTCGTGTTGTCTGGTGTGAGTGATTTAAGTGAATTCTGTTTAAGTGCAGTCTTACAGTAGATGCTGAGGAGCAGGAGGAATAGACGTGGGTTTGAAGTTTTCTCTCTTTTTTGGGGGGCGTTAACAATGAAAAGTTTTATAAGTAGGTAAGTAATTCAGCATTTTAATGCATGCAGACCAGTGGGAAATTCTTCTAGGATTTTTGGAAGCCAATAAATACATTCTTTCCTGCGAAAAGTTATTTCATCTTTTTAAAAACAGGTTACTGAGAATGAAAAGATGCCAAAGAAATATTTGAGAGAAGGATAGAAGGCTACTTCTCTGAGGCAGGTGTGAATAGCCTCAAAAAAAAAAAAAACTATACAAGTTCGTACATCAGGGTTTTAAGAAAATCTGCTTTAAATTAGGTTTATTTTGGCTTCGCAGACTTGAAAATAGTTGTTTTCTTTATAAACTCTTAGCTTAACCTAAGCAGGAAAAAAAAAAAAAAAGACACTTTGGGTGTAATATTAAAAGTCATCGCAATGAGCTTTTTGGGAAAACAAAACCCAATTTATGCATAATTTAAATTATATTTGTAGGTAGAAAAATATTCGGCTGTTTAGTCCTTGGCTTAAGTGCTTTAGCCTGGAGATATTTTAGGGTGGAAATTTGCTCAAAATGTAATAAAAACTAAAAAAATACAAGGACAGAGATGTTAGTTTTGAACAAAGCTATTTGCTTGCTTAAACAATCATTAGGATGACCTTAGGAATGTGAATTTTCAGTATGTTCCACATTTAAAGGCTTGTGCTAAGATACCTAAAAACCCCTATCAAAAGAATTTTTGGCCATGCTATAAAATAGTTTGCAACTCAACTTAGGTATGGCTTTGTAATCAATACATTTAAAATCAATTCTCCCCCTCCTAAACATAAATTCTTTTAACAGTTTAGAAGGAAGGGTTGGTATAAATGTGCCTTTGCATATGCAATATATAATTACCCTGGGCATTTTTGGTCTGCATGAGATTTGTGTAAATCCAGGTGTAAGTCTGCATTACAATAATTCAGAGGTTTCAAAATTTATTATTATTTCTGGTAAAACTCTTAATTTTCTGTCTCTAAGCCTCTTGGTTAATAATAGGAAGTCCAAGCTTTCAGATCTTGCCTTAAATAATGGATTCTTTAAGATTCATTTTTCTAAGTAGAACTTTTGTCACGAGTGAAATTACTTCCACTTTCTAAGTTTAAACCACAAATTTCCTAAAACAATATATAAATAAATGATGGTTGGGTTTCTGATGTCCCTTTTTATTTTATTGTGGTAAGTACGGTGAACGTGGAGGAACATTTCAAACTTCTTTGCAAGTACAGTTCAGTGATATTCATTATGTTTTTCATCCGTTCTCAGAGAGCCCCTAAACATAGAATCTCCTTTCCCCCTCTTGCCCATCTGGTCCTGCTAACTCCTAATAAACTGTGGTCACTGCCATGTGTAGATATCTCTGGGTCATGCCGTTTTTGCCCTTTTGTGACTGTATTCATGTTTTCAGGGTTCATCCATGTAGCTCTTATTGGCTTAGTAGTATTCCATGTGTTTTGTTGATCCACATTTTGTTTTCCCATTCATTTGTTTGTTGATGGACATTTAGGTGGGTTTCACTTTTTGCCTCTTGCTAATAGTGCTACAAGTGAACATTGTTGTTAATTGCCATTAAGTCAGTTCCCGCTTGTAGCCACCCTGTGTAGGATTTCTGAGGATCGACTGATGGGTGAATTTGAACCATCAACGTTGTGGTTCAAACCAACCTTGCGGCCCAGTGTTTGATGTACACATATCTGTGAATCTCTACTTTGAATACTTTTGGTTATCTACCTAAGAGTGGCATTGCTGGATCACGTGGTAGTTCTCGGGAGCTCGGTGGCTCTGTAGGATAAGCACTGGACTAGGAACCACGAGGTGTAGGCAGTTTGAGCCCACCAGCTGCTCCATGGGAGAAAGATGAGGTTTTTCTCTTCCCACAAAGATACAACCTTGGAAACCCTATACAGGGTAACAACAACAATAACACGGTATGTCTGTCTTTAGCTGTTTGGAGAACTGCAAAACTGCACCATACAGTGTACCATTTTACAGTCAAAGTGTTGGGTGAGAATTTGGATGAGGGACCCCCATTGCCTGACATCCTTATAATACCTTTTGTTTTTGTTTTTAATCACCCCTGTTTTAGTGAGTGTGAAGTGATCTGTCATTATTTTGATGTCAACTTTTGAATTGTATTTGGTCCTGTGAGGCACAGATCACCAGTAGTGAAAGTCCCCACATCTATTTTCCCTTACAAATAGTAAGCAAGGCAACATTTTTTTCCCCCTTTAAGTCCCCAGTCTACCCCACGTTTCACAATATTATTTGAGAAAGAAAAGCTGCAGAGAGACCAGAACGACATTTGTTCCCAGTGTGAGTTTGCCTTGTTTCCTGCTTGGAGGATCCCACATCTAGTCCTCCTGCTTCCTCTTTCAGACTTTCTTCCAGTAACTTCTCTGTGGTACCACCTTCCAGACCCATCTCCCGTTACTTCCTCCACATGTACCCTCCACCACACGGAAACTCTCCACTTCTCCAGCCCACCCAATTCCCTTTTCCGGATTGTTCTATCTTCACATGGCCTTGAATGGGAAACCCACCCCAAAGGATGGAGTAGAAGTACCCATAGAGTTACTGAGGTGGTCTCTGAGGAGCTGCTGGTGGGTTCCAACCACTGACCTTTAGGTTAGCAGCCAAGCACTTTTAACAGCTTGTACCAGGGCTACTTCATCCTCCCTGGCGGTGGTGGTTGTGTGCCGTGGAGTCGGTTCCAAGTCATAGTGTAGGGTTTCCAAGGGTGTACATCTTCTTTACGGGAGCAGAAAGCCTTGTGTTTCTCCCGCAGAAGAGCTGGGAGTGTTAGCCTGACTCGTAAGCACTGCACTACGTAGCCAAACTTTTACCCTGTGATTCCACACACTCATTTTGTTTAACTTCTTAGACAACTTGTTTATTGTGGTGAAATATATATAATGAACATTTGTCATTTCAACCATTTTTGTGTCCACAACTCCGTGACACTGATGATTTTCGCTGTGATGTATGACCACGACGCATTTCCAGATTGTTTTGTTGTCCCTAACAAAAACTCTGTTCCCCTTAAGTAATAGCCTTGATTTCTTCCACCCACACTGGCCACTGGCAAATGCTAATAAACGTTGATCTCTATGAATTGACCTGTTCTGTATGTGAGATCAGACATTTGTCCTGTTGTGATAAATTTCATTCAGTATAATGTTTTTAATCCATTTTTTTTGTGTGTGGAAATTACATGGGTAGCAAAACATTTGCCTTTTCAATAGTCATTGCATGTACAGTGGGGTCGGTTTTAACTCATGGCGACTCTGTACAGGGTTGTTATATATGACGTTAAAAATCTTTATCATGTTATTCAACCCACAGCTGATCCTGATGGTTCCCAACACCCTTAACAAAATCTCAGTCATGTGTCTTCCTCTCCCCTGCCTCTGGTCACCACTAATAACCGATCTCTCTGCATTCGCCTCTTTCAGATATTTCAAATAAGTGGGATCTTACACTATTTGGCCTTTTGTGACTGACTTAGTTTATTCAGCATTAGTTTTTAAAGCCATATTATTATGAATTGAGCCAAGGTTTACAGAGCGGATCATTGGTTGTACATTCAACAAATCTTACACTTGGTTTCATCTCAGTGATTGCGGTCTGCTCCATGTAACAGCATCATCGCACCAACTCTCTGGTGCTTGTTTCCGTTCAGTCTCCTTCCCCAGCACTTCTGAATTTTGTCTATATCCTTAGATAAATGCTGCCCTTTTGATCTTGAATGGTTGTCCACACTGTGGTGTTGGGACCTTACTAGTGTCCTCACAATATGCCTGTGTATTGCTTGGCTGAAAGTTGGGTTCATTTCTAGTCCTGAAGGATGACTTAGTACTATTGTTGTTGTTATGTGCTGTGGAGTCGGTTCCGACTCCTAGCGACCCTGCACAGGGTTTCCGAGGCTGTTAATCTTTACGGGAGCAGAACACCTCATCTTTCTCCCACGGAACCGCTGGTAGTTTCGAACTGCTGACCTTACGGTTCACAACCCGATTCGTAACCACTACGCTACCAGAGGTACTATAGTCTTAGAGTTAAGCCAGGTCTTCTTTCTGATTTGAGTTTTGTCGTACTTGTTCCCCGACTCTAACCAGGACCTTCTAATGCAGTCCCCTTCAGAGCAGTTGGTCGGATAGCTGACACCATCTAGTTCTCTGGTCTCCTGGGCATGGAGACTGATGTTCTCGTGGTTCATTAATCCAATGCACTGATTGTTCCCAGTGTCCTCAGTTCTCATCACTCCTCTAACTCTGCACATGGACAGGCCAGTGGTTGCACCTGAGAGGGCTGCTCGTGCTACCTGAGTGGTTACTCACCAGTCAGTGTAGGATGGAGCACATTGTCTGTGTGGACTTGTGTGGTATACATCTTGTTTGGCTGCTTGGTTAGGGCATCATCAGGCCTTCTTCTCTCTTTAGGACTGAATGAGTGTACCGCATTGTACGGATGGACCATGTTCAGGTCATCCGTGGATGGACACTTGGTTGTTTCTACCTTTTGGCTATTGCAAACTGTACTACATGAACAAGGAGCTCTGGTAGCGTAGTGGTTACGAATGGGGCTGCAAACCTCAGGGTCAGCAGTTCGAAACTACCAGCTGTTCTGCAGGAGAAAGATGAGGCTTTCTGCTCCCGCAAAGATTGACATCCTTGGAAACCCTGTACAGGGTCACTATGGGTCAGAACCGACTCCATGGTACATAACCACCACCACTAAATTACATGAACCTGTTGTTGTTACTGTTAAGTGCCGTCGAGTTGGTTTTGATTCATAGCGATCCTGTACAGGATTTCTGAGGAGCGGCTGGTGAGCTTGAACCGTCGACCTTGTCTGTCAAATTGACCTTGCAATCCAGGGCGTGAACCCACAGCGCCACATGACCTAGGACTCCACATGAACATTGCTCCATACATACTTGTTTGAGTCCCTACTTGACTCAACTTTTGTACCACAGACATGTTTGGACACCTATTGTATGCCACACTCTCTGGCTTTGAACTGTTCCTCAGCTTGGGCTATAGAACAGTGGCCAGCATACAAAAAAACTAAGAGACTTTTTTTGCTGAGTGAAGTAATAAGTCCATCACAAAAGGGCAAATTATAAGTTCACTGTTATAAACAGTTAAGCTCTGGTGTGGCTTATCCTCTGCTGTAGGATAAGCCACTACTGATACCTCAAGGTCAACAGTTCAAACCCTATATAGGGTCGCTATGAGTTGGAACCAACTTAACAACACAGAAAAGTCAAGGAAAGGCTTACACCCAGGGAGGGGAGAAATTTGGAAGGTAACCAGGGATGGGAAAGGTTAAACCTAAAACAAAACCCACTGCTATCATGTTGAATTTGACGTCTAACACCCGTCGGAAAGAGCAGTACAGCTCCACAGATTCCATAGGTTCCAAGGTTGTAAATCTTTGTGAACGCCAATTGCCACATCACTCTGCCCAGTAGACGTTAATGGGTTTGAACCATTCACCTTGTGGTTAGCAGTCCTATGCTTAAACCAGGGCCCATTAAAATAAGGAAATAAATTTAAAAAAAAATTATTTTCAGAAATTTCTGGACCTCCCCCCTGGAGCTTGTGAATCCTGACCCCAGGGTGGGGTGGGGTCTAGTGTGGTTTTATGCTAGCTGTCCAACTGTCCAGCTGATCCCGAAGTGCTCTTGTGTGACTGGACCCTGTGCTTCCAGGTGGCTCTGAGGAGACAGCAGGCCCAGGAAGAGGAACTGGGCATCAGCCACCCCATCCCGCTGCCCAGCGCAGCCGAGCTACTGGTCAAGAGAGAGAATGGCGGTGGTGGCGGCGGTGGAGGCAGCAATCCCTGTCTGATGCCTGAGAGCAGCAGTCCCTCGCAGCCACCGGTGCCAGCCAGCACTCCCACCACGGTGGCCTCAGGTGACCGGGGACAGGTGGGGAGGGTCAGCAACTGCATCCACAAAACCAGAGTCCTTGGACCCACTGAGCCACAGAGGGCATTTAGAGTCTGACCACTTTTCTGTAGTTTCTTGGGGTTAGCTTTTTCTTTTTGTTGTTGAGAATAGACACAGCAAACCTACACACAGTCCAACGATTTCTGATTTCTGCGTTTACATTTCAGTGATATTGATGGCTTTCTTTCACTAACGCAAATCTTTCCCATCCTGCTTTTCCAGAGTGTTTCTCCTTCATTGACATAAACTCGCTGCTTCCTAAGGTCCCATCTGATCTGTCCAGTTGCTGTGGTATCAGTTTGGTCCCATACACGTAGTTTTTATGAGTGCAGTGCTCAAGGCAAGGGTAAGCTAGTGTTTGGGTTAGAGAGCACTTTAGGGCTGTTTTTGGAGGGTAAGAATTAAAGTTGATGACAAGACAATCGTTTTGGGAGTTCATCCAGCCTCTTTGGCTCCAGAAAGTCTAGATTCCCTTAGAATTTGAAATTCTGTTCTTCATCCCTCCCCCTTTTGGATCAAGATTCTTTGTGGAATCTTTTCTCAGATTTTTAGTAGTGGTAGCCAGGTGCCATCCAGTTAGGTCATATGACAAAGGAGCCGGTTGGTCATGGGGCCAGCTAGTGAGTCACACGTTCCATTCTGAGTCCATGCCCTCTGAAGGTCCATGTTTGGCTGTCTCACAAAGGAGGTGGCTGTGGAGTCTAAAATGGAGGTTCAACCACTTCCCCTTTCATGTTGGATCCAGATTTCATCTTGGTCCATGCCCCATTTTCCAGGTGAGAAATAGATACCCAGGGACAGGGGGATGGGCCAAGAGGTCAGCAGTATTGGGGTGGGAGTCAAAGACCCTTGGTTCCAGCAGGGTCGACCTTCATCTGGAGAGTGTGTTGGAAACAGCCAAATCTTAGGCACCAGGTTTGTGCACTGGGGAGTTAGGGGTGCATTTCACCTAGAATGGGACTCTCTCCTGTGTGACCCTCACTGTATGCGTGGCTTGGTCGTATTCCCTCAACGGAAGGAATTGCTGCTCCGTCCTGTGCCCTTCCCCGATTGGTTGTGGACAGACTGCTATGATCCATAGGCTTTTATTGACTGATTTTCAGAAGTAGATCCTCAGGCCTTTCTTCCTAGTCTGCTTTAGTCTGGAATCTCCGCTGACAGACGGGGATGGTTGCACATGATGTGTGCTGGCCGGGAATCGAACCTGAGTCCCCCATGTGGATGGTGAGATTGTACCACAGAGCCTCACTGCCTCATATGAGGGTCTATGTGTGCTTGCTTGTTTCGTTTCATCTTCAGAGTAGCATGTTTACATACGTGTGAAAATGGAGACAAGATTGCAACACTGACTTTGTAAGTTACAGAACTAGTGTCCCTCTGCCTGCAGAGTGACCTGTGCTTTTACTGCCTTGGGGTCTCCAAACTGCCACCCAAATCAGTGGTTCTGCCCAGGATGAATGCGACTGGCCACACGTGGCTATCTGAACACACGTGTGTTCATTGCCCAAACCAAGCATGTCGCCGTGGTTGATTCTGACTCTCAGGGACGCTATGGGACAGAGTAGAACTGCCCCATACGCGCTGTTATTGTAGAATCTACACAGAAGCAGACTGCCACACCTTTCTCACACGGAACAGTAGTGGGTTTCAATCACCGGCCTTTCAGTTAGCAGCTGAGCATTTAACCACTGCATTACCAGGGGATCCTTGAATTAATTATAATGAAATAAAATGAAAAGATACAACGCCTCAGTTGCACTAACCACATTTCAACTGCTCAGTAGCCACATATGGTTAAAGACCACCCTGCAGGACAATGCAGATAAACCATCTCCGTTGCTCAGAAACTTGCACCCATGGCATTGAGCGCTAAGACATCCGCCAGGGACCAACGGTTTCGTGGGGTTTCTGGTCAATTCTGAGAATCACAGAAGCTCACCAACCCACCCACCCACCACGTGCCCTTGTGCTGACTCCGACTCATAGAGAACCCACCTGTGTCAGGGTAGAACTGTGCTCCACGGGTGTTCAGTGACAGACTTTTCAGAAGTAGCTCGCCACACTTTTCTTCTGAGGCACCTCTGGGTGATTCAAACTTTCAAATTCAGTTAACACTGAGCACATTAACCAGCTGCACCATCGAGGGACTTGCTAAGACTTGTTGTTGTTGTTGTTAAGTGCCGTTGAGTCAGTTCTGACTCATATCGACCCTGTCTCGGGTTTCCAAGGATCAGCTGGTAGATTTGACATCCTGGTTAACAGTCCAGTGCCTATCCTACAGAGCCACACCAGGATTCCAGACTCCCTGATACACCCTGGCATGTGGGACCCTCTTAACTAAGTTCTCATGAATTACCTGGCTTGCTTCATTGGGTGCTGTAAACTCGCTGTGCCCTGTTGGATAAGTCACTTAACCTCTCTGAGCCTTTGGTGCCCTCTTCTCAAAAATGAGCAAGGAGGTCTCGGGGCCTTTATAAAGAAGGAGCTCAGGAGTACCATAGAAAGCAGGTGCCAGGCGGAACTCTGGTCCCTGCCTGGCAGGTGGGTTGTGTGTGTGTCTGTCTACGTGTGTGTTATTGGAGCTACAGATTCAGCAATTAAAAGAGGAGAGTCTTTCCCTTCCCCTCAGATGCTCGTAATACAGGCCAACCCCAGAGATACCACAGGTTCATTTCCAGACCACCGCAATGAAGCGAGTCACTTGGATTGTTTGATGTCCCCATGTTGACAGCCAAACTCATAATTTTCTTTAGTTTTAAGGGGTTTGGGTAGCTTAGTGGGTTGTGAGTCTGGCTGCTAACTACAAGGTCAACAGTTCAAAACTACCAACTGATCTGAAAGAGAAGGATGAGCCTTTCTGCTTCCATAAAGATTTGCAGCCTTGGAAACCCTATGCAGGGTTGCTATGAGTCGGAAGTGACTCCACGGCATACTACTACCACCACCACCAAAGATTTACAGCCTCGAAAAGGAGGTAGTTGTTGATGGAAGCAGTTTGAATTTTCATTAAGGGAAAGTTTTTGGTTTGATTTGGTTTTGTAATAAGATATATCTAGTGTAGTGGTTACGAATCGGGCTGCGAGCCGCAAGGTCAGCAGTTTGAAACTACCAGCTGTTCCGCGGGAGAAAGATGAGGCGTTCAGCTCCCGTAAAGATTTACAGCCTCGGAAACCCTGTATAGGGTCGCTATGGGTCGGAACCGACTCCACGACACACAACAACAACATAAAATGTACCGTTTTAAAGCACACAGTTTATTAGGATTAATTATATTCACAGTAATTACAACCATTACTGTATTTATTTTCAATATATTTTTTTTTGTCATTGCAAACACAAATTCAGTGCATTAGGCAAAAGGCTCTCAACTCTCCCCTCCCTTCTGCTTCTGGCGAACGCTGGTGGACATTCTGTCTTGGTAAACTTGCCTGTTCTAGTCATTTCGTATCAATGAAATCATAGACTCATTGGCCTTTTGTGTTTGGTTTATTGAATTGAATGCAGTGTTTTCAAGGTTTGTCCATAGCAGGCATCAGAACTTCATTTCTCTTTACCGTTAATACTATACCATAGGATGGATCAGACCATGTGTTTGATCCGTTTTATCTGTTGATGCGCACTCGGGATGTTTCTACATTTTGTCCACTGTGGATTGTGCTGCTGTGAGCATTCATGTACAACTAACTGTTTAAAACCCTGTTTTCTACTCTCTGGGGCATTTACCTAGGGATTGGAGTGTTACCTTGTTGAGGAATTGTCTGTTTTCTACAGTGGATGCACTGTTACACATTTCCACCAGGAGCATACAAGAGTGCCAATTTCCCTGAATCTTTTCTTGTTATTTATTTATTATTATTTTTTTTAATTTAAGGTTTTTATTGTGGATGGTTTTCTTGTTATTTTTGTCTTTTTTTTTAATGTTTTATTGTGAATTATGTGATAGTTTACATGGAGAGCATTAGTTTTACATTCATCCTATTGTATGTTTCATTGCCATGGTTACAATCCCCTCCATGCATCATCAACCAACCAAAGGGTACACCCTGCAAGCCTGCCCCCTGGTCATCAGCATACATTTTTTTTTGTCTCTTTTTGATTATAACCCCGGTGGTAGGTGTGAAGTGAGTGGTGTTTCAGTGTGGTTTTGATTTGCATTTCCTGACGACAGGGTCGCTATGGGTCTGAACCGACTCGACGGCACTTAACAACAACAACAACAAGTGATCATTTGCTTTTCATAGAGATCTTGTGAGGTAGGGATGATTATCCCTGTTTACAGATTGGGAAACCAAGTCTTAGCACATAGTAAGGAAACTGCCCCCAGAATAAAGCTCTGCCGAGGTGGGATTTGACCCCAGTCTGTCTAGCCTGGAATCTCACAGGTTTTTGGTTTCACCTGCCTGTGATGAGAGGCTGGAGTCCAGTAGTCTTGTTTCCTGGGAAAGTGGGCAGTTAGGGAGATTGTGCTGGGGCTGTGGTTTTATCCTCTGAAAGGAATTACAGCCAGAGGACAAACAGGAACAATTTAGTTCTTCTTCTCAGGGCCAGGAAGCCACAACATAGCTGCTGCAACTTTGTAGGGCACCTGAGGTTGGCGTGGGGTCTTGCCTGATGTCCCCAGAGTTCACCTCAGTGGAAGGGAGGAGGACCAACAAGCTAGCAGAGTTCTAGAGAAGACCGTCAGGCTACAGAGAGTTCCTCACGACAAAGATGTTCTCTTCAGGATATTCCGGAGTGGCGATAGGGAAAGTTACAAACTGAAGCCACTTGGGAGCAGGACAGAAGGTTCAGGGACAAGGAGGATATGACCAGATCCCCACTTCCTCTGTCTCTGGAGCTAACGGGAGTCTGCGTGAATTATCAAGCACAGCTATAACAGAAATACCACAAGGGGATGGGTTTAGCAAACAGAAAGTTATTTTCCTTCAGTTTAGGAGACGAGAGGTCTAAACTCAAGGTACCAGC